TTCGGCACATTTTAAGCGTTTTTTGAGCGTTCACGATCTTTAGCCGACGATGTCTTTCTTATTATTGACCCAAACACTTTATATGATATAAGTAGATGTTTCGGATAATTTTACTACTATTGACTAATAAGTTGGACTAAACCTATTTAGTTTAACAGACAAATCAACTAAAAGGTTATTGCAGTGCAAAAATCAACGTGTCTTGTGGTGCTCGACGCGCCACTCCTGAAGATGCCAGCCACTCGCGCTTGCAAAACGTCAGGAACATTTTTTTTTCGACCTGGCCTAAAACGCCCGAAAAACCCTCCAGTTTCAACTTGTTGAAACGTTCCGCAAAGCACCGCAACAGCTGGAAAAACTGAGCAAACTGCAGCCAAACCAAGCCCGGTTTCAACATAAAATTTAGCCAGCCAGAAAAACGACCTGCAAAATACTCCTGTTGTAAATCCCGTCCATTTTTTTCATCCTGCACGCGAATATACAAAAGGCGCTAAACTGTTAGCGGGCTGATTTGAATAACGGGCAAAGTTTGAATTGGATTTTGCAAACTTGAAGAATCGGCCTGCATGGATATTTGTAGGTCTCCGGCGGATTGAAGCCTTCTGGGAGACCGATTCTGAAGAATCGCATCACAGTGAAAACGGCATGTTTGTGCCTCAACATGAATATTTAGTGAAACTGAGCAAAGTGGTGATTTGCCAGTCTAATTCGTTATAATCTTCGCCCCAACAGCGGCCTAAAAAATGCAAAAACTGTTGGAAAAAGTAGCAGAAAAAACCCGATAGCTGCCAAAGGCTCTTGCTCTAACTAACAAGGGGTGGCTTGACTTTATTAATCTTCTGGCAGGAATATTCGGTTGTCATCCAGGTATTTGGCAGTGTTGCGTCGTGGTTTATTTGAGCTCAGCCTTATCCGGATAATTACTTAGAATCTCGGTGAAATTGATACCCTTAATAAGAAACATGCCATGTTCCTAATAAGTGCCGAACATGGAGCACTCATCTGAAGCGGAATATGCGAAGGATTTAATAACGAAGGAATTTCTTTGAGCTTGAGGGAAAAATTCCCGGGGAATATTAAACACGGCATATTAGATTGTGTGCGGAATTGCTGGAACACTAACAGAGGAGAATTTAAGATCACTGCTGAAGCACAAATCGATCCTGCAGTTGGTCGAACTTTCAATCTGATCCTCGTTTCAGGTTTATTCTCAAACATTCGCAATCACTTCGGGGCTTGGCCGCATGCTTGCGGTTTATTTCCCTCAATTTCGACTACAACGCGTATCGATTGATAGGAAATTAATAGCGTTATCAATTATTATCGTAGGACACTTTGACGAGCTTTTGCTACCTTAATTGGATCCAATCTAATTGAGGATGAATATCTAATTGGCCGCTCTTTGTGTCAACAGTAATTAATTGAAACGTCCGGGACGACGCACTGAACGCGGAAAGAGTGTGTTTAGTGTTTAGCCCGATTTAGCGGTTTGGAATGGAATTTTCAGACAAGCTAAGCGAAAGTGTTATCTTGTTCTATTTCCTGCAGTAATCTGAGTTTTCCGCAATGTCCTCCCTATAATTCCCACCCTTCCATTTTGAGTCCAGGCAAACGAAGGGCATTGACGGAGGTCGCACAAAACAAGCCCGTCCCTCCGGTCTCTCTTTATGTTTATGATGGAATTTTCCTTTCTACAGCGGCGGAAAGGTCGCTTCTTCAAAGTTTCGGGGCCCTTTATCGCGTGGATTTTTACGATTTCGGGGCCTGCTTTTACGACTTTATTCAATATTCCTGCGAACACGTCTTTCATATAAACTCCAGCCCGTCCCGGGCTCCCTAAATGAAAGATTTAGAACGAAACAGGGAACATCTTTGCAGGCCCAACATAAACTGGTAACTTTGTGTCTCAAAGCTGCCTCTACTCACGCTCGGCCTCAAATTGCCGATGGAGTGCAGTTTGCTTTATGGTCGGAATGGTGGAAGATCAGTGAACAATGTGAAGATTCTTCATACTAAGTTTTATAACGGAATTGTTCAAGATTTACAAAATAAATAACATAAGGATTGAGGAAATACTTCACTTGAGTCATGAGGGGAATAATGGCAAGTGTAGCAGGTAATTTTTCCGTTCGTGATAAAGCGGCAGTAAAACACATCTTTCTCCATGTCCATTTGGAAAATATCTCCAACTGCTGCCGTCACATGACAAAGGTCCTGCAGGTCAAATCGTGCAGCAGCAGTAATTCAAGTGCTCCTGACGTTCAGGCAGGTCCGGATTAACCTGTGGTAGGGCCCGGGGCTCCGAACCCTGCAGAGGCATTTTTTGGTTTTAACACTTTTAAAATTTTCTCAAAATGTCCTAAATTTTGCATCATTTTTAGCTCACAGACACGAGGAATGCATCGAACTCATTGAAAAACCTGCTAGAAGTTTCGAGCCGAAATAATAGACATTTTCGGCACATTTTAAGCATTTTTTGAGCGTTCACGATCTTCAGCCGACGATTTCTTCCTTATTATTCACCCAAACACTTTATAAATCCACAATTCTGACCTTCTTACGTCGAAAGGAATCGATTGAGCTCAAAAAAGATGCAAGTGAAATTTTGAATTTTGGCCGAAATTTTTCAAAGGATGGAGGTCGATTTTTTGAAA